TTAGGGACTAATAGTCCCTATTAGCGGGGTGGATTGGGGCTGGGTTGGGATGCCCTCAGGTCTGGGGCGAAGGTCCAAGGTGTTATGTTACGAATCAAAATTTGGAGGCAAACCGTGATTGAATGACAAGCCTGCAACAATCCAAGTAGAACTGGAATTTGCCATCATCGGTATCGAATAAGAGTGAGCGCTTTGGGTGTGTGGTTCCAAAACCTTTATGCACGACTAACCTAAACCCGCAGCAAGCCGAATCTGATTGCATGGCTGTCTGCTGCTTGTGCCAAAGCTCTCGACAGCACCCGGCACGGCTTTTTCAGACTAGTAGTGCCTATTAGAGACTAATAGGGTCTACTAGGGACTAATAGGGCCTAATAGGGACTAGTAGCGACTAATAGCGACTAATTGGGCCTAGTAGTCTGGGGTGGCCCTTGTTGAGGAGGCTCTGAAAGCCTATTGGAAAATTACACATCTATTGCTGTTGTTTTTTTGATCCACGCGACACCGCAGCTTCAGGCCCTTTCGGTCGACCTGCGGCCGAGGTCGCCTTGAGGCCTTGTCGCCTTTTTGCCTTGAGGATATCTTGGGAGAGTGCCACGTTACTCTGAAGCAGGTATCATAGTATGTTTGCATGTTTGTATGGATTTGCATGTATACAGGTCTTTGATACCTGTCAAAAGTCGCGGGATGACGAATGTAGGCGGGATATTTATGCGACTAAGCTGTAACGAATAGACAAGGTTGAATGACAATGACATGTTCAGCTCATAGTAGTCTTGGCCTTCCCGATCGCAAGAGGCATCATGAGGTGTGCCACCGCCAAGCGCATGCCCCCCTCGATCAGCCGAGGACCGCCCAGCTGTTGCATAGTTTCGGAACTGTGCATACGCTCTCACGCGCCTGGAATGGACAATGCCAGATTTGTTGATGTCTCGCTAAGGTCGCCTCTCAGCGACCCGGACGAGCTGGTGCTGTCTGGCAGTCTGCTGAGCAGGGGTGGTGGAGTCACATGTGTGGACTCGCGTGGCCACGAATGAAGTAATACATGTTTTACATGTTGATGTGAAACCGACAAGCTATGTGATGCTGGCCACAGCTTGCAGACAGTTGCGCTGTCTGGCCTTGGCTGTTCGTGCAATTAGCCTTCACCAGGCCGATATCCGGATGGGGTCGGCGGAAACCGCCTCGTGGCAGAGGTACCTCTCAGGCACGGCCAGACGTCCTTCACAATTGCTGCATGAAGTGCCGCAAAGCTGTCACACGCAGTTCGACACATGGCACCGATTTTTCGACAATGCGCCAGGGACCACGAAGTTGTTTGTCGGCAGCACCGGCGGTCGAAGCAGCGTTGACCTAGAGCGCAGGGAAGGCCTTATGTAGTCGAAGGGGTATCACAAGGAGAAGTGAGCGAGTCACCAAACATTCATCCTAGAAGTACGTTCTACAACAAATGCAGCAAGAAGGGAAAGCAGTTACTGTGCTGTAGATGACTGCTGCATCCATGCTATTGCGGAGCTTGTCTCATTGCTGAGCCGAAGTGCGAGTCCGGCCGTCCAAGATGGCCCACCTGCTCTGGCTCAGGGGCCTCCACGGCGATGTATGTATGTATGTTTTTAGGTAGGTACTGAGTAAGCACGTAGATAGTCAGGCAGCTGCGTAGGTAGGTAGGCAGGCGTGCACACGTGTATGTGTACGCACGTGTGTAAGCTTGTGTGGATGTGTGGATGTATATACCCATACCTATGGGGAATATATACCTGTATGGTACGGGTATGGTAGGGTAGCGTAGGGTAGGATATTCATTATGTGTATGAATGTGCTTAAAAATTCATGCATGCCTGCATACGCATGCATGCATGTACATACATACATACATCCATGCATACATACATACATACATACATACATACATACATACATACAAACACAAATATGCATGTGCATATTATGTTAGATTTGCCGAGCTGTATGTGCACGTATGTACATGGACTCATACATTTAGAGCACCTAGAAGGAGGCATTGTAAGTGGGTGTGGCTACAGCAACACAGACAACCAAACAGCAGCAGATGGACATTGACCAGAGGTCAACACGAGCTGTGATCAGCCATTCTGTTGCAGAGGTATGAGCTGGGCATGTGTTTGTATATGTAGATAGCACGCACACACATACACACACACACACACACTCACTCACACTCACACTCACACTCACACTCACACTCACACTCACACTCACACTCACACTCACACTCACACTCTCACTCACACTCACACTCACACTCACACTCACACTCACACACACACACAGAGGCAGAGAGATGCCGGTTGGAACAGGTTGTCGACATTGCTCCCTCGTCTTCAAGAGGACCTTGTCTTGTGTTGTGTCGTCAATCTAATCTTTTCTTGTCATTTATCACTACAACCCAGCACGATGGGGCCCTGGAAGCTGGAAAGACAAGATGCTGTAGTTGCATAACGAGATACCTAATATTGACGGTCTCAAGGCTCATACTATAGGCTCGACAGAATGTGAAACGTCCGGTTGATCAGACGGGAAATCATTATCCAAAGCAAGCCTCTTCCTCGGACTGGCACTTGCATGGATAGCCAGCTCCCCTGATCTGATCATGCAAAAACTCCGACAGACTTCAGCATGCTTCAACTTACATACAAAGGTTGCTGCAGCTAGATGCCACAAATTCCTTAGCAGCAGGATTTCCACACATGCACACGCAATACGCACACATACATGGAATATCTGTACACAGGCACAAACACATTTTCACGTATTTACGTATACATGTCCCTGTATTTACACAGAAAAGCCTGATGCGTGCACGTACACATGCATTGACAGATGTATGTTCGCATACATACATGCATGGATGCATAGATGTTTGGGTGTGCAGATTGGCAGGTATATAGATGTATATACGATTACATACGTCTGTATATTTGTATGTCTCCACATATGTACGCATGCGTGCACAACACCATGCCGGCCTGCAAAACATACATTCGTACCGTATTGCCTGCATGTGAGGGGATGGTCGAATCCATGAATGAAACACAAACGACTGACGGACTACTGACTGACTGACCGGCCGGCCGACTGCCGACCGACCGACTGAATTTGGCATAAAGCTTCTTGCATACAATCGCCGGAGGCCCATCAATGTCACCGCCCGGCAGGAGGGCAGGATTCATCTCGAAAACGGTCCTCTCTTGAAGGCGGCATTGTAGTACCAACATGTAGCACTCTTGTGCCTTATGCTCCGAATACCACAGTCGTTGTGATGCTGCTCACAGTAGTGATGACGATGATGATGATGATGACGATGCTGCTTCTTCAAGTTCTGCTCAGCGATGATACTGATAATAGTGGTGATGGTGTCTGCTCGGACGACTATGGACGTTCGAGCTTCGCGACACAGGGCCGGGAAAGGATGGTGACGCTAATGGTTACAATGGTGACTGGTGACGACTGCTTCTGCTTTTATTGCTCGTACTGTTTCTGTTCGACACCGTCGCAGATTACCGTTTTGTCGCTTGATTCGATGTTTCCGAATCGGCCGCCTGCCGGATATTCTGCAAACCTGCGCGCCAGCGGATGTCGCACAAGGAGTCGCAAGGAGCTTCAGATTTGTTGATGCGTATGTGCTGGCAAAACGTGTGATGACAACTTTCTGTTTGAACCCCACAGCTTTCTGTTTCACCGGATAGTATTCGAAGCTGACGCAATCGAAAATTGAGGTCCCTGACAGCACTTCCCATTCTGCCAACTGCCTAAACCGCTAAGCCTCCAAGCTTTTCCAGATTTCCTCGAACCCTGACGTCACATGGCATGGGTGCCCATGGGGCGCCTGCCGCAGCTTGCTTCACTTGGGTCTTGCCGCTTGGCGTCGCGTGCATGTTGAGTCCCGTGAGTCACGTGCCATCAACACAGAAATCAGAATTTTGTGTTCGTGAGAGTCTGCACATGTCTGCAAATCTAGTTCCGCCTCGAGCAGGTTCTATGCGGTGCAGGCGGAGACAGATCCAAGCAGGCCGGCTCGTATAGCAGAACTGAGGCACGTAGAAGCCCAAAAGTTGGAAACCCAATAGCCTCAATCCTTAAGAGTAGCGTATAGGGAAACCCAGCACTAATTTTCCTTAATCCGGTTTCCAACTTTTTGGGCCAAAGCCAAAACTCCAAACCGGGATCTGAGCCCAAGCCTTTGGATGGAGGCGCCTCGCGGAAGCAGACTGGGCACGGGGACTCTGCAGCCGGACTTCCGTGGGATTCTATGCAGGACACGCATGCTGTCTCGTGTCTTGTTCTGGGATTGGTAAGAGCGTGGGCAAGGCATGTGAATCTTCGATACGAAAAAATGATCCGGTGAAGACCCAAGTGGACCTTTGGAAAAACGCCCGCGTCTTTGTCAGGAACTGCACGCAGCTTCGAGAAACTTTTGCCTTCGAGGGTCTTGAAGAAATGCCGCTTGGCAAAGGTACAAAGGTCCGACCTCGGGAGTTTTCAGGCTTTGCTGGTTGGCTTGCTGATCTATCGGGCATCTCGCCAGCCTCATACCAAGGCAAGACGCAGGCACCCTCCAAGGGCTCTTGGATCTGGAAGGGCCGGAACTGGTGCTGGGAGGTGGCCGGACATGAGGGCTTGAAGCCTTCCGGTTCTGGGGATCACCACGTGAGCTGCGAGGCGGTGAAGCGCCACGCCTGCTACGGGCATCACTCCTGGGAGGACCGTGAGATGGTCATGACGAGCTTTGGCACTTCATGGATCGGGAAGCCGTTTTGCATCCACCATGTTCTCGTTTCGTCGCAGCAAAATCGCCACGTTCCAGAGGATGCGCAAAGTCAGGCGGCAGCAGACAAGCCGCCCGGCGGCTCTAGTTGTACTCAGCGGTTCATGCTGAACCATTTCGGGTTGAGACTCCGCATGGACAAATGTCATGATTGAGAGGTTTCCTGAGAGTGGTAAATCCGGATGTATTCCTGGGGAAAGATAGCTAGACACTTTCCTCCCTGCGAGGTGCAGGTAATGCTAATTGGACGAGGTCATCTGAGCGCAGCTTCGGAAGCTAGATGCCAATTCGACTGTTTGGTCATGAGTACATGCGGACATACAGGTTTGAAAGTACGTGATGTTTATCAATTGGTTGTTCGGTGTGTTTATCTGCCGACCGATGGAGAGTGAGAAGCAGAGAGGGACAGAGCGAGAGAGAGAGGGAGGCGGGGCCGAAATTGGGAGTTTGCATCTCTTTGACATCATACCATAGCCCTGGCGAAAGAAAGTCGGCCCCTTCAAGAGGGACAGAGAGCGAGAGCGAGACTTCCAGTAACAGGCAGTGAGTGCACTCGGTGATGAGTGCGGGGATCAGGCGGAAAGGTTAGGCACAGGACCGATAGGAGAGTGGATGCACGGGAGCTGGGGAACCAGTGTGATGATTATCATATACTATAGTAAACTATGGTCTTCTGTAGTATACAATACTAGAATAATTATAGTCTACTATACTATACTATACTATACTATACTATACTATACTATACTATAAAATACTGTACTATATTATGATACACTTACTCGGCTTGTTGGTTGCGACACTCGAAAAGCGGGGGCACAAGCTTCGTAAAGCAGAGTCTGTCGCTGAACGTGAAGGATGGGGATGCGCAAACGCGAGGGTTGCGGGGACTGCCCTCGGCCTGTGCCCCTTTCGACGCAAAGCGAGAGAGATGCTGACCGGTGCAGTTGGACACATACCCCCACGGAAGGGAGGAACCGGAGACGAACAGTACTTCTCGTATGTGCGACAGTGTTTATCGTCTCAGCAACAGAGCAGACCAGATCCTGAGTAGATTCTCTAGTAACAGACGGTGCATGCAGCCTGCATGTCCCACCATTCACGGGCCCTGCAAGGGAAGCTCCGGACCTTGACGACACGCCTTTCCCTGCGCTGCAGGCTTGCAGAGGGTGTTATCTCACTGAGTGCTCTGTTGTGCTCCGCTTTTGCGGGGCGCGAAGCTTGGGCCCTTCGCTAAAAACAGTGAAGTGCGAGAAACCCTCTCAGGACGCCGAGCGCTGTGATCTGCCAGAATTGGGTGCCCACGAGCTGCACATGGTACATTCTGGTACATACTTTGGAAGGTAATGTCAAATTTCCATTGACGCAGTGTCCTGAATCACGCACACTGCCCAACCATGCGGTATCACGGATTGGTAGCAGACCAAGGCGCTTCGCTTGTGCCGGATCCGCCGCCTGAAGGCTCCAGAAGTCCGATCGTCCCACAAGCTACAAGACAGGTTTGCGTGAGATCTTTTTGCACGGGAAGGATTGCTGGTTGGCTTTTCTAATGAGCTTCCTTCAGCCCCGAGAGCGAGAGAGAGAGAGAGAGAGAGAGAGAGAGAGCGAGCTCTACTCTACTGCCCGACCGGAACTCGGACTGGTGGCGTAGCGCAGGGTGCAGCTGGGAGGGGCCCACGCCCCGACCTCCATACGCCCAGCAAGCAAGCAAGAGCTGCAGGGCCTGTGCTCACCGACGACCGCGAAGAGCGCGATCAGGACGAGCAGACGACCCTCGATTGCAGGAAGAGGGCGGGCAGTGTCTACAGGTTGTTTAGCCTTTCTAACCCGAAGCTGCAAGGTACATGAACTACCAAATCGAAGCTCACGAAGCTGAGTTCTGGTTTCACCAACATGCCCTACCCTCAGATGTCTCATCGAAGTCCCGAGAGCCAGGCATCCGCTTTTTGCTTCTTCCGCAAAGCTTCTTTGACAGTGTGAGGCGCACAGTTGTAGCACTCTGCATGACTCGTGCTCGACTCTGAGGTGGCCGTCTATGTCTTAAACCTGCCAACTGCAGCTGACCGGTGGTCACGAATCTCCAGGCAGTGGTTCCAAAGTCAGCACACCCGGCCACTTTGAGCCTCGTAAGTAGGGCGCAATCCACCATGCAGTTGGCTTCGGGATCGTTTCGTGAAAGAACCGAAGGATGATGGTGTGTCGTGCGGCCAGACAGTAGTCAAGTCGGCAAGGCCTTGCTGAAGTCGTTCCGAGAAGCCTCTGATCAAGTACGATAAGGGATGCATACTCGGCATGTCCGTTTATTGCATGTGGCTGTGTCTCTCGCATGCCGGTGTGTGCTGCTTGTGCAGGAGGCTGGAGGACCCGAGAACTATTCGTGACAGCTGCTTGCTTCCTTAGATTCCGTCGCCCACATTGGAATCACCGCTCCAGGAGCTTCACATTCGTGCAGACCGCGTTCCGGGGATCGACCTCTCCGAGCCAGGAGCCATCCAGCAGGCGCAGGAGGCCGGGAAGTTCTGGGGCAGAAGCAGTGGGTCTGTGGTAGCTACGGAGATTTCACTTCGAGCTCTGACTAGAGCCTTCAGTCTTAGTTTGCGTGACTACTCCGGATGTTCAAAGTGCAGCCGTACCGGGGTCGGGTGCATTGAGTTCCCATCCTGGCGTTTTGGAATGGGGTGCAGATGGCGGCAGCTTCCCGTGCTACACTACACATCCTGGCCCATGCTGGCCAATCCGTGCTAGACCGAAGTGTAGGCATTGATTTTCGACCCTAAAGGTGATTCGGTGAACCTCATGTAAATTGCCACAGTGGCATGTCGCAGCATGCAGAGATGCAGGAGGGCCTCGTGCCCCGCCTGTGGAACTTCTCCGCTGCCAAGCAGAACATGGTAAGGCCAGCCGACTGACTTGGCAGTCGGCACCAGTTTGCAAACTCTTTCGCCACTAGCCAGCCCATGCCGCCTCATCTTTGGGAGCAGCAGCATGGTGAGAGCCATGGCCCAGTCTGGGCTCTGCAATCGAAGTCTGAAGTCTCCTTCTCAACTGACCCCCTCCCCAGGACATGATACGTTCCATGGCTAGGCGTATGGAGTGAAAGCCAGGCTTCTGAAGGACAGCAGCGAGACGACAGCGAGGAGGCCAGGGAAGCCGGAGGTTTCTGCTCTTTACAGCTTCGTCAATTGGCGTGTGGTAGGTGGTAGGCTCCGTCGTGACATGGACTGAGGTATCTGGACAACTATGGGCGGGGGACAATTGGGTGCGACGCTCCCTCAGCAATTGATCGCAGAGTGTCGCATGCTGCTTCTCATGGAAGAGTCCATCTTGCGTTCAACGAGAGACTGCTTAGACACACGACAAGGCAGCTGCTCATCTGCGGGCCATGTGGCAGGCAACCCTCAGGATTTGGCTGAATCGGACTCACACCCTACCCATGAGCTTCGCAGAAGGCAACGAGCAACGCCCACCGCCTGGAGAAGCTCAGAACCCAGCACGGAACGACCTGGGTTCGGCTCAGAGAGTTTCGGCGCGATGATGACCGGGCCGCAGTTGCACCATCCTTGCTGGACGCTGTCCGCGGCTGCAAGGCCCGTGGTCCTCATCCTCGAAGATGATGTTACCTTGGAGGAGCTTTCGTTTGCTTAGCTGGGCATATCCGAACATGTTTTGTGCCCTGGAATCTGGTATCCCGATGCAGCAGACCGGAGAACTGCACTGTAGCAGCTCCACAAGAACACCCGGACCTGCATCATCAGTAATTCGCTAGAGAAAGTAGCAAGATGAATAACGACGACGAGTGCATGCGCTTGAAACAGGACGACTTCATGCTGAAGCTGCGCCGCTTACTGCGTCACGAGGCGAGTGCATGAAGCTCGCCTATGCTTGTCGAGCTTCAGTGCGCGCTCGAATTGTACGGAAGACCCTTGTGTTTTCAACGGTGCCATGCGCGATGCTACGGAATAGCATCTTGCAGCTCTTACTTCTCCTTGGTCTCTGATGTTGCTATGCGGTCGGTTTCTGATAACTCAGGGTGCACACTGTTGGTTGCTGCGGGATTTTGAGAAGTTCTTGGTTGGACCTGGAAGGCCCCATGCGACTGGGAGGTGATCTCACTGCGGTCGCAATGCCCCTATGGTGTCTGCGTTTCCCCGCTCTTGAGCCGCACTATGCGATGGCTGAGTCTCCGATATTTCTGAGTCCTTGCCGGACGAGGCACCTCACCCGGGTGCAGCCAGACGCCAACGAGCCGGAGGAGATGTGCAGGCTGTGTGCTCGCTGCTGTGCTCGGGAGCTGCGGGCTGGGCTCGGCCGGATGGGATTTTCTTGGTGTCTTCAGGATTTTTCAGGAACGGGATTAGTTCAGGCTTCGCTGCCGCCAAGATTGGCTTCGGCCGTCCCAGGCACGGAGTGAATTACGGCTTCTATGCCATGCTCTACCGTGCCGGAGCCTGAGAAAAAATCAGTTCTTAAGGCGACAACGAAAGGCAGAACTTTGGGGTCCAAGTTCCCGTTAACTTTCAATGCTAGCGGTTGCGGCTGGGCGCTGTCCTCCAGGATGCAGACTTTCGGAATTTGAGTGTCCTTGCTTTGCAGCACCGCTCCGCACACATAGCATGCTCGAGACAAGCCGATTGAGCCAACCGTGAAGCCCCACTTTCACTTTTGCGCAAAGACTACTAGCAGGAGCTTCCTGGAGCAGACTTAATTAGCGATTTGGCAAATATCTGTTGAAGCCATGGCGCGCCATGCAGCATGGTGGCTGGAGCCCGGGCCAAAGCTCAGGTGTGCTTCACGGGATCAGAAGGTTCTGGTGCTTGCTATGTTTGCCATGTCACATGACTGGTTGGGAAGGAGGCTGTCAGGGATCTTGCTACAAGGACTTCATTCTGACTCATTCCTGTGGCTGGTGCAGGCTAGCTGGTGTCAGCGTTCCTGGCTTCGGCTGGCCTTTGCCCACCAGCCAACGTCATGCAGCCTTCCTGGGGGAGGCTCAACATAAGGGATATAAGGGCTTTCGGAACACGTACACCGTGCAAGTTTTGCCATGAACAGGTGCTATTTCCACTTTCCACATACATGCCCCTTCCCGCACCCTGCGAAGTTCTGCCGAGGTGGACTGCTTGCATCATCCGCGAGAACTGCCTTGACCCTTGGCAGCACCTTCGTCTCCGTATGTTCGCTGGTTGCAGAAGAGCTTTCCAAAGCGCAGGTCATCAACGCCGCATGCCGTTCCTGAAGAGCCTCACATGCAAACCGCACTACTGTAGCTGTTTGAAGGTTTGACAAGGCCCTTGGCGGACTCCTTCCACGGTGGCGTTCCCGCAGCTTGGCATCGAAACATATTGCCTTGTGTCGGCAAGGGCTGCAGCTGTTCGAGGTCTCGATCAAAGTGCGCAACGCCTCTGGCGCAGCTCTATTCGAGTTCAAGAAGGGCGCTATCGCCACGCTGGCGACCTTTGGCCAGCTCCTTCGGGATCTCTTTGTACCTTTTGTCCCTGCCGACTTGAGAACTGCGGGCCCTGCTCAGCCGTTTCCCAAGCACCAGAGAAGATGCCAGGCGCAGAGCGACGAGGAGCCTTCACACCCTTCAGGATGAAGGTCATGGTGCAATGATGAGATTTTAGTTCTTACTGTCTTGGTCCTCCTTCATCTATGTTCGTAGTCACGAAAGCTAGCTCTGTAGAGCTTCGGGAGTTGTCGTTTACCATTCACTTAGGTAATAGAGATCTAGGTACAAAAAAGCACGCAGGACCTTATCTGGTCTGTTTTCAATAGTCACAGTGGGGGGGGAGGGGGCCCCCTCGCGCCACCACGGAAATGGTTGCTTTGGAGCAGCTAAGGAAGGGGGCCCCCTGCCCCCCACCCACAAGGTCCCGGGCAACATTGAACAAGGTGGGGGCCCCCCCCACCATAAGGTCTGCTGAGCAACATAAGCAACACGGCTAAGTTGCGCTTTGTGTTGCATGGCCGAGTCTACATGGCCGAGTCGGCCTACGTCACGTCTGACCCGAAGCAATTAGTTAAGTTGCCATCAGGACAGATTACATTCGCATGTGGTGCAGTTGCCACCTCAAGGCCAAGAGCCGCAGCCGACAAGCGCGTGGAAGCATTGAAGCCTGCGCGCCTAACATGCTACGTTCGAGACCAAGCCCATCAGGAAAGCTTCAACAATCTAACTTAAGAAAAAAGATCTGCAACATTTGGAAGCAAACCTGCATGGACTGCATGAGTTCTTCTGCCGCGCCGTCCAGCTTCGCGCGGGCTTCGCGGCCTCAGGGGCGGTCAGCTGCGTTGCAGTCTTCTGCTCTAGCTTTCGTAGCCTCCTCAAGTTTGTACATACACATACATCACATGTGCCTGTGCTTACCAAAGCATTTTGTAGATATATACGGCCACCTCGATCTTCGGGGACAATTCGAGGCTCCGAAATCGTGGGGGATGCAGTTGCTCGACAATTACGACGACGACTGCGACCACGATGACTCCCACTACTACGACTCAGACTGCTGCTGCACCACCACTACTACCATGACGACGACCACGACGACGACGCCCCCTGCCACAGCCTGTCGCCCCGCCAGTGCTACTGCTGCCAGTGGTGCTGCTACTGTAGCAGTACCTTTCATTGCAGTTGATGATGCCACTACTATCCACTGGTGTCTCTGCTGCTGAGACTGCTGCCGCGATTGCTGTTTTTGGTAGCCACCAATTAAGATGCACAAAGACAACATTCCGGAACATCGTAATGGAACGAAAAGGGCGAATCTAGACCCGAAGCGGTTAGAAAGAAATACGTCTGTTCATTTTATGTACTTAAGAAAACTAACACGACATGTCTGTACATATTTACCTGCGTATCTATCTGTCCGTCTATCTGTGTATCTATCTGCCTGTCTATAGCCATATATATGTACATATATATACACATGCACATACATCCATGCATCCATCCGTCCATCCATCCATGCGCGCATGCACATACATACATACATACATACATACATACATACATACATACATACATACACATATATGCCTTATGTCATTGCATGCCGTTCTGGCTGTCGTGCCTTTTTATGTTGCTTTGTAAGCTGCTTTGTAATAGTCATAGTGTTGATCTTTGTTGCCAGTCAATTTTTCTGTTGCAGCCCTGTATGGTTCTACATTCTAAATTCAACTATCTCAATAGCTCGCCATTTCGATATGATTCTGCGGAGGAGCTGCAGCGAGGCCTCGAGGGCCGCAGGCACCTGGGCCCGGAAGAAGCCCTCCTGCTGCGCTACCAGCGGCGCCTCTGCTTCGCTTGACAAAGTTAGTACATAGCTGCGTTTGATATTATCCTACTTTTCACACACAGGTATCTAGAGGTTAGTATGTCATGAGTATAGGGTGCGAGACCACAGCAGGGCTTGGTATGTATCTGACATGTCGCGCCCTGGCATGAAAACGAGCTTCGTCGCACTAGACCGTAGAAGTATGGAGCACTGAAAAAGAGGGGCCACAAATCACCTCTGAATCCCAAGAACATCTTTGGCGACCTTCAAAGGGAGAACGCACCCTTCAAGCGCAAGCTCAGGCCGAGACTGGGGCCGGTGCCTGTCGGCGATGTGATGCGAAACACACCGCAGGCCCCTGGGTGGGTCCACTCGGTCCTGGGACACTTGCCTTTCAGGGCCCTGGGGCTGCCATCTTGCAGTGTCAGAGCATCGATAGTGCTGGCAGAACAAGAATCGCCCACTGTACCCGTTTCCAGGACTTGGAGATCGGCTGGTTTGATGGTGATGGCAAGCTACTGGAGGTCGCGCCGCTGCGTGCCAACGACGCCCAGGTCGATTTGCCGACATTCACGAGGGGTCCACGATGGTCAGCATCAATGATCGTCAATGTACCAGAGGGTGTTCGGCTTTTCCGAGAACGGGCTAAGCCAGGTGCTCTTGGAACAAGGGCAGTCCCTTGAATTGAAGCACAGGTGTGGACTTCTGTTGTACAAACGTCAAGAGCCGCTACTCGAATGTCGGTGCAAACTGAAAGCCTGCAAAGCTACCAGCAAAGCCAAGTCGGACGACGAATCCCGAGTCAAGCAGTGAGGTTACTTGGTCCAAGCATGACAGCGTGGCCTGGGGATTGGAAGCAGCTTGGCTGACCGGAACGTTGTAAAAAGAGGGGGCTGGTCATAGGCTGTGATCATGCTACCGAATCTCCAGCCCATGGAAGAAGCGCCAGCTCTTTCTCTGCCCGGAGTCCCGAAGCCATGAAGCCGCGCTTTTTGTCTCCTAAACCTTTTCTGTGTTGAAGGCCCCACCCGGCACTTTCGCAGCCAGCGGTGCGCGGCCGGGCGAAGCCGTGCTCGACGTCTCTGCGATCCAAACGAGCTGAGGAGGGAAAAAGACAAAGGCTACAGCTGAAACGGGTCGAGGTCTGTAGAAGATGCAGCATCTCTCTCCTGCTCGCCACCTTTTGGCCAGAGGAACCCTCTAGCTACTAAGTCCTGCGAAGAAGTAGAACAAGTAATGGGAGGAGCAGAAGCAGCGGCATGCTCGTCGTTGTCACTACTGGCCGCTTCGTTTTCCGGTTGGTAACCGTCAAGAGGCAGACTCGTGTGCGTGTAGAGACATGCAGTAGCTGGGAAGACCAGACTTCGGCGTTCTGTTTTTCAGGAAGTCTAGTTGGTGGATGTTGGTGGCTTTAGGAACCAAGCCTGTTCCTGCTTTATCTCAGAGCATTCTTCCGACAAGCGTGACCAGACACCTTGGCCGACGGTGTGTTTGCAGTAGAGGTATAGCGCAGAGTAGCTACTTCATCTGGATTTGCCCTTGATCCTTCAAGTGTAATCCACTTCTGGCCCCCTAGGTTGACTCGCTGATCTCCATCGCGAACAAGCTGCACCAGCGCATTTGGGATGAAACCAGGCGTGCTACGTGACCACAAACTCGCTAGATTCGGGAGGAGGATGCCAACTAAGAGCCCAGTCAACGGGCTCAACAGGCTTCTTAGCCTCCCCCGCTGAACATCCCACTCCAGTTGCTGAGACGTTGAGGCAGGGGAGAGGATTGCAGGATGGGGTCGCAAAACTTCGTTTTGAGGTGTCGTCTTAAAGGTTCTGTTAAGCTTCTCAGCGTGCTGCGATCGATCCTGCAACCCTGAGCACGAACTCTAAACCAGAACAAGCCTCAAGCCCGCCATCTTCGTAGACTCCATGATACCGCTCATGATGCTGGCCCCTGGCAACCAACGCCGCGCCAAGTCAACATATAAAGGAAAGCGAAGCGCGAAGCTGGCTTTCCGCCATCTTCAGGTCCTAGACAATGGGTGGGTCTTAGGATCCCGCTGATGAACGCGGGCAAGCCGATGTTGCAAGTGGTACTCGTAATTGAAACTCGGCCTTTGTCTCCCGAAGGCCTGGATGCCTGGCCAACGATGTGGCTTTGGCATCGCTTGCGGAGGAGGTGTGCGGGCTGTCCTTAGGTTCAGATTGGGGACATGCTCGAACTTCCTGTGCAGCTGTAGCAACTGCATCCTGCATCATGAGAATAAAACTGCGGGGGCCCGAGCCTCGATTCCTTCCCACCCTGTGGGGCTCTGTTCGCAAGTGTCAGCTCGTGGTCTTGCAGCGACAAAATCGTGCAAGGTGGTCTACTATGCCGTACCCTCGTCGCAGGCCCTGGCGACGAAACATCTCGCCCGGATCTAGTGTCTATCTACCCAACGCAGTACTTTTTTCAGCACTCACTCTGGGTTTCCTGGTTTTTGGAGGACACGGAACGAAACAGCTTCTTCGAAAGGATCTTCCCATGTTCGACACTGCCTTTAGCTGAATTCGCCCGACGTCATAGCTGGCTTGGACATCAAACAATGCGGGTGCATGTATACAGCCAGCAGATACTCGGCATGCTGTCGGCAAGTGCTCTTTCCATTTGCGCGGGTCTGCGGCGGAGCTCCTGCCATCCCCGGCTGCTCCGCAGGTGCCTGGCTTCGTGGGCCACGGAGATGGCTTCGGCTCTGCGACTTGGCGGCACACTTTGCCGGAATGTTCGCAACTCGTCGGTTCCGGATCGTCGGTGACCTGCCCAAAGTAGATTCAGCTCGGGTGCTAAATCTCGTCTCGGCAGCGCGGGCTAAAGGTGATCGGAAGCCGTCCTCGGTTTCGAAAAGAACTCACTGGGCATAGAACGCCTTAGCCAGGCTGCACGACTGCGTTGCCTTTGTAGCAAGTATGTCGCACACCACAACGTATCTGCCGCTTCATGAGCTGCTCCCAGCGACCACCTGCCCAGCGAATGAGCGCCGTGAGAAGTGAAAGGCTCCCAACTCTTGCCGCTGCAAGCAAATCGCGCCAAAATATCCATGTGTAACAAGTTTTGGGTTTGGCGAGCCCCGAGAAACTTCTTCAACGTGCCTGAAGCCCAACGTCGAAACACGGAAGCTGCATTTCCCCTGTCGCTGCTCTTGGCTTCTGCCACATGCATCTGCTGTGGCACCAGGTCCGGGGCGAGCTCAACCGGAAAGGCACGGAAACGATGCCAACTCAGGGTTGGGCCCGTGCAGTGTCAGATAATCTTCCTGGTATTGGCGGTGTCTGCAGTAGCACGCTCCACCGCTGGCCTGTATCACATCAGCTTAAAGAGGTGAGTCACCCTGGCTGGATTTGGTCCTGCAGAACAAGCACGACCAATCTGACACTGAGAAGTCGCGGAGAGAAATGCTGTTGAGCGGGTGGATCTGTGCGGTGATGAGGATATCACAGATATAACTGTAGAGCTTGCATCAAGGGTGGTTCGTTTGCTGCAACCAGGGAAGATCACGCAGCTGTCAACCTCGGTCTGCACCATCACTTTGTCAAGCAAACTTTCTGAGCTTGCCGTAGTAGTCTGCTCTCGACAGAACACACACACACACATTCTGAAAGACATCAGGATGTACCAAGGCTCGTTCCACCCGAGATGCGACTCGGCAGCTGATCAGTTGGCTCGAACCGGGAAGCCGGTGTCTTTACACTTAGAGGCCAATGTGCACTTGATCTCTTCGCTGCCTCCCTCCCCTCCCCCCCTCCCAGGTCCTCCCCTCTCGTCTGCTTTGCTGTCTCTCAACTTGATCTCATGTTCAGATGCTGACCTTGTCGGATATACATTCAGGGCTTTTCTCAAGTACCTAGCAGATCCACGTCATGCGCGCATGTGTTGCAGTTCGAAGTCCACGCTTGGGCATCTTTCCTTGAGAAGCTGGCCTGCTTCCGTGCTTTCCCTTTATGGTCGTTCCACCTGGGCCCGGCCTTCCGGCGACATTCGTGGCTGCGATTGGCGTCTTCCGCGAGACTTTCAGGCCGTTTCTTCGGTCTCTCACGTCAAGCGCAGCCTGACACACACATGCACAAGTCATGTACACACTTATCGAAGCAAGTGACTGCTGGACTCGCATTGAGTCGAAGCCGGTGCAGGCGCATACCACCATGGCTGCTGTTCTCCGGAGTCCGGCTCCCGGGAACGCTCAAGCGGGAGCAACGAGGTGGAAACCGAGTCCAGAGGAGTCTGTCGCCACACTTTCAGAAGACCTGGGAGCACACCGATTCATGCAGGGAACCAATCTCAGATCTCGGGGTTCACGCAGTTGTCCCATTGAAGCCGTCTGTCAGACCTCAATCCTCGAATCATCCGAGCCACTTGTCTCAGTGTCTCTTAGGCGGATCAGTTCGTGAAGCCCGTCGCGAACAACTTTGCATTCCCTTCCGTCACACTTCCATCCCGCGTGACGGTGGAGCAGGCCAACGATGGGAAGCTCGGTTCATGTTTGCATAGCGACTGGAGAACGCGCGGCAGGACACCGTCGGCGGCGTCCCCGGGGAGTGGCACATCCCAGAGGCACCAAATTAAGGCCTGGCACCCTTGGCCCTGAGACCTTGCCTGCAGGACGCAAACAGCCATGTGGACAACTTGCTTGTTTGGGCTCATGGTGGTGGCTTCATGTTGCTCGGACAATCCAGAGCATTGTGTCGAGTCTCTGTTGAGTCGCAGAGACGACGAAACCTGTGCCTGCGAGCTGAGGTTTTGCTCACCCGGGACACATCGGCTTTTCCTGAGCCGTGCTACTTGTCAAAAGTGCAGATCTGAAGGGTTATTGTACAGCCTGGGACATGTCTGCGATGATCTCAAGTCCGAGGTGGCAGAGCGGTCGCAATGTGCGATCTTCTGCCCAAACTATCGGCGGCTCAGTCAAGACCGAGTACAGGCGTAAACGCGCACCTCATCCGGTGAGCAGTGCAGCTGAGGAAACCTCCCAAGCATCCCTTTCCCGAGCCACTCTCGGACGTGTGGAAGAGCTACGAGGCGAGATGCGACGGGATGCGAGGGCCTCTGACTGCCCACGCCAGCCAACCCGGAGGTTCTCCGGAGCCGCAACACGCAGCAAGACGTCTACGTCGGAGGCGTTCCTTGCCTCCATTGGCTATCTTCGACTTACGGAAGAGCCGTGGGACTTGCAACGCAGAACTGCCATGAAGATGAGCCTCAGCCTTCCAGGACAGTGCGGGTGGCAACCTGGCACTGGAAGTCGCACGCCGGGCCTGCGCAGAACAGGTTCGGGAGGGAGGACACTTGACTTCTGTGCGGATTCGAGTTTGGATAGGAGAGTCAGTTGGAATTCGCTGTCATAGAGATCCAGCAGCAGGTTCTTTCATGTGTTTTCCAAACGCACTGCATCCGGGCCACTTTCCCAACGGTCGCCCTCAAGCGAAAGGTATCCACTCATCTGCAAAAGGTGGCAGGTGCGAGCCTGAGCCCACACATGGCTTCACGATGTAGCTTTCTGCGTGAGTTGCACTTAACTGGATTTGCCTCGTAGACTGCAGAAGCAACACTGCTTGCAGATGCATGAGCCTTCCTCCACTGATGGCCCCCAAAGTCTTGTAGCACAAGGTCTGTGAGAGCAGGCCAGGCCAAGCTCGGTAAACACAGCCAAGTCACTAAGTAAGCTGCCGAGCCATGTCAGTTGAGCAAATCCGGGGTGCAGCCCAGCAGATTCATGCAGGGCCTAGCCGACTCTGCTAGACATACAAGCACTTCTCAGTAGTACAGATGACCTACTAGTAGCAAAATAGACTAGCAGTTTTGGGCGGTTCCTGGTAGTCTATTCGGTCATATTCGGTCCTTGCCTGGCTGTCGGAAGGGGAGCTAGCGTAGCGAAATAGACTACCACTTTGGGGCAGTTTCTGATAGTCTATTCTGCCCTGGGCTGGCTTGGGAAGGGGAGCGACGGTAGCATCTGTATCACGCCCACCTTGGGCATGCCGTATGCCTCCCCGGAATCAGGTGTCTTGCTACTTAGCCCTTGGGTCGACCTGGCGGACAACACGTCCGACTCCTGGCCCCTGGGCTGAGAATGGCTCGGGCCGGTTTGTCAGTGCTGGTGCATAAAGCAGAGTGCAATGCAGTGCTGAGACTGGCCAACTGAGGTTCCAATATGAGGCGCTGGGGCTGAAAAGCATTGGTCTTTTTACGACTGCAGCAGAGAGGCTTGACAACAACTTGGGAAACTGGTCATTCGTGTGCAGTCGGCCAAAGTAAGACTGCTGAATGCGGACATGCTGTCCGGTGCCGTCGTCTGTGTTTTCGCTTTTGTGGGAGTGAGTGGCACCACCTGTCATTGACTCTTGTCACCTTATTATCATGAGTTTGGCCGTTATATGTGGTCTTCCCGTTTACTAGGTGCCGAGTCGGTGCAGTGTTGCTTTGTCGACTGTGCATGGTTCTTAATTTCGGTGGTTTCAGCGGCGATGTGTTGAATCTCAAGAGTAAGTGTCAAAAGATTGATTGGAGGTGTTCCTTTGGGCCTGTTTGCATCATCTGCTTCTGTGTTCGCAACTTTCGTAGCAAGAACACTCTGCAGAGGCCTCCAACAAGGCTTGCCAGGGCGAACTGCAGGGGCTCGACTCGAGTGCACAGACATGCCTGGAGTTTTCTGTAGTCCGGAGTTCCTGCCGGCAGGAGGTAGATTTCTTACCGCGACAGCAAGCGCGTGCTGTTGCGAAGATTTATGCATCGACTTGGCCTCTGGAGGCACGCTGTGATGAGAACGAGCTTCGAAAATCACGGGCTTAAGACATGTCAATGTGCAGCTGCAGAGTTCGTGGTGCGGGGTCAGCCTGAGGGGAAGTACGGAAAGTCTACAAGCTTCATAGCGATTGTGCAGTGGTTCATAGGACCTCATTCGATTGTTTGTCTGTAGATGTGCTCAGCTGCACTCAGCTGCAAGTTTGTGCCTGATCTTGGGTTCTGCCGTGCGCACGCTCCCGGAGGATCCAGCCATTTCGCCTGTGCGGCATGAGACGTGGCCCTCCAACTTTCCTCCTGCCTCCTGGCAATCCTACATAGCCATAGCCTAGGACATAGCCTCGATGGAACAGCACCAAACCCCTGAGAGACACTTCACTAGCAGCAGTCACAACTTTGCGGTCAATGAGTTCAGCAGCTTGGGTTGCAATTGTCAAATCCTGCCGGCACCTCCGGACTGTCACAGCTGGGCTGGGTTCATGTTGAAAAATCACAGGAGCGAAGAGCTATAGGTGCAACAGCTTCGAATAGCTGCCCTTCGTAGTGAGAGGTTTTTCTTTTCGCCTTGACCGCCAATTCTCCTCCTGCCCTGCATCGCTCACCGCGTCCTCATTAGCACATGCCGTCAGAAGGGGCAACCATCTAAGTTTCCATAGCGCGCACCGACAGGAAATCCAAAGCTTGCCTGTATGGAGTCTTCGAGGGCACACCTGGCTCTCTCAGGTTCATTTGGAGTATGGTGGCTCTGAAGTATTTCGCGATCAAATCGAGAGGCTGGTCGAAGCCTTGAGAGAAAATCGCGTCGCAGCTTGGCTCCAGCTTTGGCATGGGTGGCCTTCCAAGAGTATTGCTGCTTGCTGAGGTTTAGGTGCCGTATGCGAGCCTCTGAGGAGCTAAGCATGCACCTGGAGGAGGGCCAAATCCATTGTTATCCATTGCTCGACTTCTTGGCACCTCAGGCCGGGGAAGTTGGCTCCAAGCTGCGTCAAGACTTGTGGGTGCAGCTCTCATTCCAGGTTCCGGAGATGTCAGAAGGCTTCCTATCAAGGACGGCAAGCTTCTTAAACAGAAGGACGTTCGAGAAGCGCGCAAAACATATTTCCATTTCAACCTTACGCCAGCGGTTTGAGTTTTCGATGAGATTGAACTTGAATAAATCATTCCACTCGTCACACCGACAACGGGAAATGTACGAGCACATGACGATGCAGTCAGTTTCTCGGAGGAAATTCACATGCTACAACTAGCTGTTAGCCTATCGGATACTGCAGATAGTACAAGATCCCAAAGTTCTTGATTAAAAATCCATCTAGAAATGGTATCGAGGGCGAGATTACGATAAGTTTTCTCCAACGACAGAGAAATCTGACGACAACATACAAGTGGCACTATGGTGAGACCACGAGACAGATCTAGAATGAACTTGGGTGGTAAGGGTGGAATATATTATTAATATCTAGAGATTAAATTCTCTATATAAATGGCTTATAGATTATAATATATAGAATAATTATAAAGATATTATGATTATTTAATTCGATATCGAATAATAAAAAAAATATTCATGATTTTTTATTATTACTATTTTTTTTTTACAAATTTCTCGATATTATTATGATTTTCTTTATCCACCACTAACTATTAGTACTAGCGGCCCACGATAGGTGGGCATGATATACGATACTATATTTGATGAAAATTATTAATTCATATTCTAATCGTCTATTCTTGAAGATTATATAGAAATGATTATTTATGATATCGGTGATATTCTATTATATTATCTGATTTTATCGGGCGCGCATAGGAGGAAAATTATACGTATATTGGGACTGTTTGAACTTCATTGTTATTGGCATCTATCGTTTCGCGAGAAGTTTTATATCGGGACTCGGGCTCGATTTAGAATAATTTTTAAATTATTCATACCAATATTTCAAAAATATTATCTCGATTCTCGTTATTCTTCTAGAATACTTCGACTAAAATAAAATTATTCAGCTTTTTCTAATCTAAATAAAAGTGATAGAAAATTAATCCCTGATCTATCGTCCTCATGACCTTTCGGATAAGCTTGAAAATTTGAATTATGAGGTGAATCATTATATATAGAATTTCGCTTAATATGAGACTATTTCATATCGCAGAAGATGGCTTCCGGCATAGAAAATAATATAATATATTCGAGATTATATATCTATTTCTGGCATTCTTTATTCATTTATATGCTGTCTTACAATCATATTCCTATATATATATATATATTTCTTCTTAATTTTATATTCATATTTGACGATTTTATATCCTTCCACCAATAGCGTGATTCCCGTATTACGGGCATGGCATATTCAGCTTAGAAAATCCTTATTGGATATAGGAGACTATACTCATTAATCTCGGGATTATGGACAGGTGAATTCTCTGCTTAGGTCTCTTTGAGATATTTTTACATCTTTGATATCGGACGGCTCTGGCCTAGGGAAGGATAGGACCTCTAGACACTACGATTTCGTGAATATCGCCTCGTATAGTTTTTTTTTTATATTTTAGAAATTCTAAATCTAGCTTCCATATATATGTCGCTTCGATATATCTTTTTCAGTCATATATTTTCTGTATTGATTGCCAAAAATAGGAGCCAAATATCATTCGAGATATCGTGCAGCAGGGGGATATTGCTTCTGAAAGCAAAATCCTAATCTTATATTTTTCATAAAATCATGAAATTCTTATTCTGACTTCTCTTGATTATATTTTCTCCTAGGGTCTTTATTATTCTCACTCTAAATCGTTTTTTATTATTTCATAATATTTCTATTGATCTATCTTCTCTCCTCCTATTCCATACTCCTTCTCTTAAATTCATATGAGATTCCCCACGATCCCTTATAGCCTCCCATCATCTCATATCTCCCTTCATATTATTGATAAGAATATTCGCGAATCCCTCCTTATATTGCCTATTATTTCCTGATTTTCCCATCCATCTTCGAATCGCCCTCGTCCTCCAATTCCTATTTTTTTTATTTTCCTTATTTACTATATCATGATACTCCCTATGAAATCCTCCATTATATATACCCACTCCCCACCCTTTCCACGACAATATTGACCGTCACCCACCACTCCATAAATTCCCCAATATCCTTGCCTCCCCCACACCCATAAATTCATAATAATTCTTTTCGAATTATTTTTATTCTCCGCTCCCGATTTATATATCCTCATCCATCATTCCATAACACTCCCCTTAATACAATCGCCTTTGCCTCCAACTTCATAAAAACCCTATAATATTTTCTTATTCGATCATTTTCAAATATCCTCATGAAATATATTGCTCGTTTCTACTCCCGGAATAGTATCCCCCAAGTCCGCATATAGATTCGCCCACAAATTGCATTCTTATATTTATGTTCGATTAAAAAAATTGAACTTAGTTTTATAGAAATAAATATTGAATTTCTGAAATTCTAATAATATTCAATAAATTATTTCTAAAATATTTGAAATATTCGAGAATTTCCTCTTGAAGAAAAAATAGAAATTATATAGATAAAAAATGATATTTTCTAAAAAATATTCAATATTCGTATATCTTTTCTAAATATAAAAATTAATATTTATTACAAGATTTACTATCTAAAAGAAATATTCGAATTTTTGAAAATATGCGAGCAATAAACAAATTCCACAAGTTATATATAAATATCTCTCTACGAGATTATCAATATATCCTATGCATCTCTCGATATTCAGAATATCGAATCGATTTTTCAGAATTTCATTGAG